CCCGCGTCACTCCGGCATCAGACCGTCCGCTTCCCACCGCGCGCAGGGCCGACCGGCGGGCAGTGTTGCACTATCACTGCCAGGAGTGATTGATGTAGGCAGGCTCTGCGCGAAGGAAACACACCGTGAGCAGAAAATCGTGCCGCCCAGCTACTTGGCTATGGGAGTGGGCACGGCTGGGTGCGTTTCGCCACCGTTAGCAATTGCCATTATCAGTGCTGGTGCAACATTGCAGAACACGCGGGGGTGCGATGAGTGGTACTTAATTCATTGTGGATAACGAAGTCGGCAGAGGGTGTCTGTTTTCCTGGTGCGGTTCTCATGGCAGAAAAGTAATAAATGCCGCCAATGTTAATATCATAATGAAATAGTGTTACTGCAATAGCGGCTTGGCAGATCAAAACCAAGCCTAATTGGGCGCATCCAGAAATCATTTGAAGAAATGGAAGGTACTCGTAATCTCAGTGAATTCATGATTCATCAATGCAATAAATGAAGCAATGTGTGTTGAGTGGTGGACAATTATTCTGGTTGAGAATGATCTGGAAATGTTTCCATTTACTTCATCCAATAAAGAGTTAAAATCCGACTTCAAAGAGTTAAGTGTCGTGAGGAATATCATCATGATGATTATGCGCATATTTAGTTGACCGAGTCCTCAATTGAATCTGAATAGATTGACCAAATAACAATTAATTCGGGTATATTCGATCGCAGATCTTTCTCAACCGATCTTCGTATATTCGATCGGTTGACAAAGATATGTGATCGTATATGCTCGAATTGTGTTATTTGGTCAATTTATTCAGATTCTATTGAAGATTCGGTCAATTAAATATGCTCATAAAATACGACTTCTTTGCATTTCATTATTGTCTATTTAGGAGATAATACCTTATAGTGTTCTAGTCATGTTCCATTTTGTAGTATTATTGTTTTTCGTTTTCCAAAGCTTTTGGACTCTTTAAAGGGACTATCCCACCTTTAACATGGGGTTTGAGATAGCCAAGTTTGCGGCGAGGTTCAGAAACCACTATCTATCTAGGTTGCAACCCCCGCGGCCTCTTGGTGTTGAAGAAATTCGTTCCCTTCATTTGAAAATGGGCCTTGTACAAGGCCCTATCTTCAACATGGAGCGACCGTTAGTGTGACGTCACCTCGTTTAGTCATTCTGATTAAAATGGGTTTGTTCGTTGAAAAATCGCTGAAAACTTGGTCTTTGAAATTTTGGGCTGTGACGTCACATATTTGAAAGTTTGTGTTTAGAATATGGGAAGCCTAAGATGTTTAATGAAAAACAAATGCCAGAACCGTGTTCCTGGTCATCCAATCAATAAAGTCGGGCACAATTTAACTGGTTTTAACAACATTTTAGAAGGTGGGATAGTCCTTTTAAAAGGGACCCTCCCACCTTCAAAAAAGTTAATGAATTGGCATGAAAGTGATGTCGCTCGGTTCAGAAAGAGCAAAAACGAATATCTACCAAATTTCATCGAAAAATATTCACCGGTTTTCAAGATATTAGACTTTAACTTTTGTTTACTTTTTGGGATCTCCGCTGTTCCTAGCGACTTTATTTGAAAGTGCGGCATTTGTTGCGCGCAAAGCAGCATATACCACCGCGTGCTACAAAACGTTTTAGTCAAACATTTAAAAATCGTTAGATATCTGCGCTGACGTCACACATTCAGAGGGGTATTCCTATGCATTAGCCCCTCTGAATCAAAATGCTGCAATTTTGAAATTCAATATTTCCGATTTAAGGCATTTCTCGATGTTGTGAGTGCCGAAACCGGTAATTGTGAGCCAGGGACCCCATTTTGGCTATCTCAATTTAAATCTAATGTTAAGGTGGGAGGGTCCCTTTAAGCAATAAAACTCTCGGTAATTCCTTATATATTGCAAGAAGGTAACGTGAGCACAGTTTAGCTACGAATATGATTTTGCTTGTCTTCCATCTGTGATATATGACCAATCAACAGTCAACTTCATATCGAACATAGGCAATGACCAGCCGTCTCGCCGTAGCTCCTTCTTGCTAACATCAACGACAAATGTGCCAGCTTATTCCACATAACTCAGCTCCAGTTATCTTCTGGCTAATCGATGCTTGGCTAGATTTATGAGTGAGCAACTGAAAGCACATGCTTGTATTGTGTAACCGCCTGTACCGGGGTATACATGCGCGATATCGGGGTTGTCGGGTCACGGGATACATGGTGTCGCTTCTCAGTTCGTCCGGACATGGTCTCAGACATTAGAGGCGCCAGGAAGAGTTCAAACGAGCGGTGTAGAGAGGCGGTACCCCGACGCCAAACGTCTGATTATTGAACCGATGAGCCCGGATCGTGCCTTTATGGGTGATGCAGTACAGCCAAACTGTGCCTCGAGCACTAAAATTGATCACTTCGGTGCTGCATATGCTTAATGTGATGCTCACAGCTAAGAGCTGTTGTTGGTTGCACGAGGTCTATTTGTGCAATATGATTTTACGTCTGCATGCAAACAACGGCTGATCAGCACATTTTCCAACTTATTGAAGATAACGATGCACGCTGCTATCCGAGCGCATTCTGTCCCGAAGTTTTGTAACATCCCCCAAATAGCACTAATACAGGTAAAACTTACGCAATACTCATCAAACTCGGTTATTGTGAACAGTTCCTCATTGTTAATTCACTCCTCGCGACACAAAAGCCACTAAAGCAACAAAGCGGCAAGACATCAAAAACGCCTATCCCGCCGACCTTCGGACAACTTATCACTCAGCACGTTTCGTTTGACGCCGCTTTTCGGATGGCGCGGTGAATGGTCCTTGTGGCACACTCTGACCGCGTGTGGGCTGAGCTGGCGAGCCCGACCGTCCATTGTGGTGACCTGACCCTCCGGTGTGAGCCCCGCAGGCCGGTCAGGGACGAACCGACGCTACTGCGGATCGTGCGGTAGTACGATCATGACGAGGCGACTCGTGACCGGCGCCGTGTGACCTACTCGGCGCGCGGGGGACAAACACGCCGCGGGGCGAGGAGGGGAGGGGGGATGAGGCATCCGCTGGATTGATCAGGGGATAAAAGAACTTGTAGGAAGGATATACATAGTTAGAAGAAAGGAAGCAGTTGGTTATTTGAAGCAGTACGTTTCTTTCTTTCTTTTTTGCATAAATCATTATGTTAGTTTTTTTTTGCGGCTTTCAAATGGGCTGCTCTAAACAAATATTTCTGAATGGTAATTACGGAGCGAGCGAAGCGAGCGTAGTCTTTCCTTAGATTAACGGAAATTTCTGAGTAATGAGCGGCCTGCCGGCCGGCCGGCCGTGGTCACGCTTTTGCGAGGCTTATGTATATCTCAGCAACCACTTGACCGATTTACACGCGGTAATTTTTGTAGGGTAGCTTCATTCCTTCTACCAAGTATTTGACTATTCCCGATGCATGTGGGTGACTCCTTATGCACGTGCCACGTGCAAAACGAAGAGGTGTCCGTTTTGTAATAGTTGCAATATCTCGGTAACTACTTGGTTGATTGCGCTGGAAGTTGTCATGTAGGTAGGCAGGCACCCGCTAGGCAATGCATATCCATGTGCCAGAGTTGGGGTGCTGCTGCTGCACGTGCGCACGTGCAGGGGTCGTTTCCAGATCTCGAGAACGGCTGGACCGATGGCGCTCAAATTTCGCACACGGTTAGGGACCAGTTAGCAGGGTGCCGCGCAAAAGTTTTGCACGAAGCGAGAACGGCTGGGCCGATTTCCAGATCTCGAGAACGGCTGGGCCGATTGTGCTCAAATTTGGCCACATCGCTAGAGACCGGTTAGTAGGGTGCCGTGCACAAGTCAGTTGGAGGTAACCCCTCGAAATTTCGCACGTGCGAGGTTCACCCTCTCGCTCGCTCCGTTAGTCGCCCCAAAATGCGTTATACTGGTGAATGGTGATTATCATGGTAAAGGTGAATGTGATGTGTTGCTATGTCGGTAACAATTAGCGCGCGCCTCTTGCCGTGAAACCTACCGCAACTCAGTGTCCAATCATTATATCTAACGGAGAGATCTCGATGCTGCGCGGTCGTCCGCGCCTAATGCATGCGCACGAGCCTTAGTCTCCATATTCTCACGCGGTGGAATTGTGATAGGTAAGGGAGGCTTGAGAGACGGCGTGGAGCGTGAAAACGTGACCATTACTAGTCAAACCACCCGCGTGCCAACAGAATCGGTCTCTCTGCCACTCCCGTGTGGTGATGAGACGCAAAGATCCATTTATGCTGTTAAACCCTGGCTGGAAAAGTCGTGATGCAACACCATCAGGTTTTTAGGGGATATCTAGGAAAAACGCATAAGTTTCGGGTTAAGATTTCAAAAAACTTTGTCTTTAATATTTGTCCACATAACTTGAAAGTTTTCGTTTAGGTACCGACAAGTCCGGTCATTGGGCTATGACGTTAAATAAAAAAAGTTTTAGGTACTCGACCAAAATCGAAGAAATGTGTTGTCTGTGGGAGACTTGTGCTTTTTCCAGTTTCAACTCTCCATGTTAGTTTGCTCAAGAGTTTCAACGAGCAACTCCGAGCTGATAGCAAGTGACCTCAAGACCTCACGCAATGTTCAAAAGGAAAGACCTAAGCACTGGGCCCAATAAGGAGGGTGTGAATTTACCATTTCATGCACTTCGGAGTTTGGATGGTCTTGGTTCGGGCACAAACAAATGGGTGGTCGAATAAGACCTCGTTATATAAGAGCAAACCAAGGTAGGTAAATAGATGCTGAATTTGGATTAAGGCTTCGATTTTTCGTAAGTGTTTTTTTTTTTGGGGGGGTGGATATATGACCTCTATCAGCCTCTTTGGCAAAGACTCAGCCTAACTTGTAAGCACTAAGCATGCATCGGTGACCTGACCCCGCCTAACCATCCACCGTGATGGACTAACCACCCCCGACCTGCGGGAGGGGGATCGAAAGGCCGCGGCTATAAAGCGCCCAGGGCGGCTGGGGCAGCGTTTAGTCGCCGGTCGCCGCCGCCGAGCCCACAGACGGAGAAAGTGTCGCACCCACTCGGGGTGGGAGAGAGAGAGAGAGAAGGCGCCCGTGCCGTGGATCTGCCTGTCCAGCGGCGCGCACACCGTCGCGAGCCGCCGCCGTCGACGCTGCGACGCTCCGCCAGTGCCGGCCACCGAACGACGAGCGGTGCCGGGGGTCAGCCGACGCGCCGCCCAGCCTGCCGACGAGCGGGACCGAGCTCCGAGCGCCAGCGGCCAGCCGGGCCGCACCACTGCGGACATGAGGCTCCTGCACTGGGTGAGTTCAGAGGATGGCGCTGGCGCTGACTGCTCCACTGACGGGTCCTCGGGATGGGAATGGCACTAGCTTTGGCACTGGGTGATTTCAGATAATTGATACAAGATATATGCCATGTGTTATTTCATCAATTGAAATAAGACATCCATATGTTATGGTGGGTTCTCGGGATGGGTTTGTTACTGGTTTCTAGGTGCGTTTAGTGGGTAATTGGAAAGAGGCTGAAACTGGTAGGTAGGTGAACGTCTTAACCAGCCAAGTCCACACTCTGGCCGGTTATCGCATGTGCTTCATAAGCATTTGTCATAAAAGTGGGATTTGTTTCCTGTCTCCATCATTCCCTAGTAGCCTTTTCAGGCGTTGAAAGAACTACGGATAGCTAAATCAGTGTGATACTGAGTGTTTGATATTTTTCTACTAAATTATATAAAACATGAAAGCTCAAACTAAACGTAAAATCAATGCCTTTTTTCTTGCAAGCAAAGGTGGACGCAATTGTACGATCAATGCCTAACAAACTTAAGCAGCCACCCAGGTGGTGCCGTCGAATGCCGATATGAATTTTAGAGCTGGGGTATACCATTAAAGTATGTAGAGTAAAACGAAAGCAGTGCCTTCCTATAACCACAAACAGAAGGCAATGAAAGTGAAATGAAAATGAAAATGAAATGCCAATGAATATGAAAGAAAGCAAGCCACAGTTTGTTTTCGGGAAAACTTTTGGGTTAAATTGTTTGCTCACTGTGCCCGTGCCTTGAACTACCGGAAAAAAAAAACATTTTATTTGCATTTTTTCATATTCTTACTTCACAAATGTAAATTACTTGATTTCGCCAGTCAGTTTTATGTGATTTGAATAACTTTATTTTTTTCTTTTCAGAGCATTTGCAATGGCACATTAAACATTTACACCGAATAACGCATACCTTTTTTTAATGTTAGGACGAATTGTCTCTTGAGACATCATGATAGTTGCGGCACTCGACTACGGCAGAGGTTATGTAAGATAAGAGGCTAAACTAGATAAGAATTCTTACTTAAAACATAATTGATTTTTATTGGAGAGTATGTGACATTTTACCAATTATTCGGTAATGTAGAGCGGCATGCCATGCCAGCATAAAATGGTACTGAATCATCCTCCGCACCCAGACGTTCATATTAAGTCCGCTTATCTGAACATTCCCATTCTACTCTCCTTTCTCCTTTCAGGCAGGCTCATTCCCAAGACCAAAACAACCCACCAAGTTGTGTCCGATGATGTATCTACCAAACTTTGCTGGGTATCAAATTGCATGGTTATAGTCTCTTTGTGATGCATTTACTAATTGCAAGCATTTTCTTTTCTGTCATTATTGAAGAAAATTTGATGCATTGTGATTTTACAAGACTTCCCAACACACATTATACCTATGTATATGTGCCTTTCCTTAGTCACTTCTGAGGCATTGCTTTTCCTTTATCACAGTTGAGGTCGTTTGCTTTTCACCAATGGCAAACACATGAGTGTTGCATAATTATCAAAGTTGAGCAGCATTTCACTGGACCGCAGCTGCCATCGATGAGCCGGCAGCCCGGTCCGCCGAGCTGGTGACGCGAGACTAGTGACCCGCGTGCGACCCATGCGGTGCGTGACTGGTGGGCGGGGCTTCACTCACGCACAGGGGCAGGGCTGGACAGACGGGTCAGAGGTCGTCTTCTGTTCCTAACTGGGAGTGCGCGGCTCACTGCGGCGGTGGTCGTCAGTCCAAAATGAGGGGCCGGCACAGCAGGTGTTTTCAGCTCCGAATTCGGAGCCCTATGTGGCACAATCGATTGGGTTTTGCGGTCACTCTGTTTTGCATACCTCGGTTCTTTGACAGCTAAAAACGTTTATCTTCGATAAGCAGTTAGTTGACAGTCCTCGATCTTTGATGTTCAGGATGTGCTTTTTACCTTTATAAGGTGTAGTAATGCAAAAAGTCCAGTACACTCAGATGCCTCTATTCACACCCGTACCCGCTCGTGTCCCGGAGCGCACTGCCCGGCTTCACCACATTAGCCTAGATCATACCTCTGTACACGTCATATCACGTCATATCACGTCATTCTGAACCCTAGACAAAGGCTGATCAATTTCTCCCTCCGCCGACTCACCGTCGCCATAAGACCCTGGCTCGCAATACGACGCGCACCATCATCGCTCGAACCACGCAATGACTAAGACACAGACTACACCTCACCCTGATCCTCAAGATCATCACTTCCGCTGCTGCTGTTTAACGCATCAATCGGCACCACGTGGCCGAAGAAGTCAGGCGGCCGCCGATTACGCTGACCTCGGCGCACCACCCTTTCGCCGCTGTCGCTCTCAGACCGGCCGCATTCACCACCCGCATGGCAGTCTAAGACTGGTCGTACTTTAGTCTTGTTCTGCTGTTCAACAGCCATGAGAGGGATCAGCCCGCGCGGCGGCCCGTCCACCGTCTCGTCGTACGGCTCCAGCCAGCCGTTGTCGATCCATGTACGGAGTTCAGCATCAAACTCCTGCCGTGCCTCGGCCGGCACGCCGTACTGGGGGACACCGTTCCTCAGGCACCCTGGCTCCGCCCCGTTCCGCCACTTCCACGCCACCGTCCAGTGTTGACTTTTCGCGTCATAAGTGACCGTGAAGTCTCGCTCTTCCACGGTCAACGCCGGGGGCGTCACGGCGCTGCAACAGGACCCAGTGATGCAGGGCGCCGTCATACCGTACGTCGACGATCTGTGCGTCAATGAGGACGTGGTGAGCGCGGAGCGCGTGATCGCCCACTTCGCGAGCTATGGGCTCCAGTGTAAGCCGCCGGAGCGGGCTGCGGACGGAGCGCGGCTGCTGGGACTGCGTGTGGAGCCAGTCGGGGGTGGGCTGGCCTGGAGGCGTGACAACCCAGTCGGCTCACCGCCCGCGGCAATGACGCGGCGCTCCGTGTTTTCATGGTGTGGTCGTATCGTGGAGCGGAACCACCGCAGTGTCAAAGTGATCGCGGCGCGGAAGAAGTGTGGCATCGGAGAGGCCGTGCACCTGTACAATATCACGCCCCGTGACGGCGGGACGGCGGCTGAGGCGCCCGCCAACGGCATCTACCGCTACCCTGTGAGGGACGCCGTGAGACAAAGAGCTACCGCCGGAGCGTCCGAGGAGGCCGTGATAGGACGGCCGCCAGCCCGGCAGGAGGGCGATTTCCAGGTGGGGGACGCCGTGTGGGTGAGGCGGCCGGGCACCCGCTGCACCGAGCGGTCGGTTCGAGGAACGGTGTCTGGCGTGGTGTCGCCGCAGGTGGTTGAAGTGGGCGGCGTGCCTTGGCACATCAGAGACCTCCGCCACTGCGGTGACACCGGGGGACCAGCAGCAGGCCCTCGGACCCCCGACCGGGGCAGCGGGGGCCCACAGGAAGCGGAGGAGGACCGTGCCGGGTCCCCGATCGTCATGACATTCGGTTATGAGGGCGATGGCGCGCCGGGGCGCCCGGTGGAGGAGGCTGATGATGCGGGTGGTGAATGCGGCCGGTCTGAGAGCGACAGCGGCGAAAGGGTGGTGCGCCGAGGTCAGCGTAATCGGCGGCCGCCTGACTTCTTCGGCCACGTGGTGCCGATTGATGCGTTAAACAGCAGCAGCGGAAGTGATGATCTTGAGGATCAGGGTGAGGTGTAGTCTGTGTCTTAGTCATTGCGTGGTTCGAGCGATGATGGTGCGCGTCGTATTGCGAGCCAGGGTCTTATGGCGACGGTGAGTCGGCGGAGGGAGAAATTGATCAGTACACTCAGATGCCTCTATTCACACCCGTACCCGCTCGTGTCCCGGAGCGCACTGCCCGGCTTCACCACATTAGCCTAGATCATACCTCTGTACACGTCATATCACGTCATATCACGTCATTCTGAACCCTAGACAAAGGCTGATCAATTTCTCCCTCCGCCGACTCACCGTCGCCATAAGACCCTGGCTCGCAATACGACGCGCACCATCATCGCTCGAACCACGCAATGACTAAGACACAGACTACACCTCACCCTGATCAATTTCTCCCTCCGCCGACTCACCGTCGCCATAAGACCCTGGCTCGCAATACGACGCGCACCATCATCGCTCGAACCACGCAATGACTAAGACACAGACTACATAAGGCTCCCGATGAATCACGCAAAAACTAAGTCAAACATTATCTTGTAATTGAAAAAAAAACTTGCAGAACAATTATGTCAAAATCAGCTGACATAATTGTTCTGCAATTACCGCACCGAAAAACACTGCCAAACGATAAAGAATGCGTAACAAAACACAGCTACCAAAGGTAGCAAACAACTCTTTTATCCCCCGTTTCACGGCCAACTCATCGTCACGACCCGTGGCGTTACGGCGTCACGAGCCGTGTTGCCGCGTCGTCACGATCCAATCGTGACCTTTGTGGTCGTCCGTGAGTGTGCCAGTCCTCAGTCGTGACGCGCTGTCACTGGACAGTAGACACCGACCCCGCTGTCGTGACGAGCTCTATGCCATTGGACACCGGATGCCTCTGTCGCCACTGGGGTCACGGGGCGCTGGTCACCACCGCTCGTGCCGTCCGATGGGCCCGGGTGGTTTCCTGACACCCATGGCGTGCGTGTGTGAGTGGGATCACATAACAGGATCACAGATCAGTGACCACGCGCCGCTCGTGTCGAGAATCAGTCACGGTGGATCACTTCACTGCCGCTGTCACGCGGGTTATGTCATCATGGCTTCACTGGACAGCATGTGTGTATGCACATCCATGCATACAATCCTCCCTGCCTGAGGCTGTTCGGCAGCCGCCTGTGCAGCGGCGCGGCGGCGTGTGAAAACTCACTGACGCTAATCGACGCCACATGCAATGTGCCGTGCCACCGGCGGTGCGCACTCGACTCGGCAAGTCTCTCCGGCCATTGTTGAACGGGCTACGGGTGCTAATTGAAGGAGACATTTTTACTGACGGCGTGACACGGAGCGCATGGCGCATCCTGCA